GAAGGGCATTGAGGAGGGAGGGAGAAGGTACTGGAAAAGGGAGGAAAGGTGAAATGGAATTGACCAAACTGTCCTGTGTACCTTGTGTGCTATATAACTTGTGATCTTGAATGGTCACAAGTTGTGAGAAATGAGATGATATGTGTAAATTGCCCTAAATCTATAAAGTACTTTACAACATTACTTGTTGTATGTGCAGATGTGCAGAGTGWGCAGAGGGAAATGTATCTCATAAGCTACTGGAAAACAAAATTTGAGAATCATTGAGTTCTTAGATTTTTCAACCTTTGTAACATTCCCTGGCATTGTAATGCCATGCGGAAAAAAAAGGCAATCTGTTTCTGTAAAAGGTGCTTGAATTGCCATGCGGTTTTTAAACATGTTTTTATTAGTGCATTATAGTTATACATATTAGTGTGGCTCATTTTGATATAACAGACACACATGGAATAGAATTTGTTCCACTTCAATCCCTAGTGCTTCTTTCCCTCCCTCCCTTCCTCTCTCCCACTGTTCCTTTTCCTCTACTATGCTCGTCTTTCTTCTACTTATTTATTGTTTTTTTTTTAAACTGGTGGTTTATATATGTACATAAAAGTGAAGTTCATGGTGGTATATTCTTATATGTACATAATTTTGTCAATTTCATTCTGTAGTTCCTCTCTTTTCCTGTCTCTCCTCTCTCCCCAYCAATCCCCTTCCTCTGCTCTACTGATCTCCCTCTCTTTTTGTGGGATCTGTCTCTCACCCTTTCTCCCCTTACTTTGCTCTGGCTTCCAGAGGAAAAAAAAATTTAACCCTTGACTTTCTGAGTATGGCTTATTTCACTTAGCCTGATATTATCCAGTTGCATCCATTTACCAGCAAAGACCATAATTTTGTTCTTCTTTATGGTTCAATATAACTACATTGAGTTTTTTTTTTTAAAAAAAAAAAGTACCACATTTTCTTTATTTATTCTGTCAGCAGGCACTGGGCTGGTTTCATAACTTGATATTGTAAATTACATTGATATAAACATTGGTGTAACTGTCTCACAATATTATGCTGATTTTAGTTCTTTTAGATAAATACCAAGGAGTGGGATAGCTGGTCATCTTTTGAGGAATCTCCATACTGCTTTCCAGAGTGGCTGTACTGATTCATAGTCCCACCAACAATGTATGAGTGTACCTTTTTCTCCACATCCTCATGAGCACTATTGTTATTTGTGTTTTTTATTCTTTCCTGCCCCCATACCCCCATTCTGGCTGGAGGGAGATGAAAACTCAATGTAGTTTTGATTTGCATTTCCTTGATTTCTAGCAATGTTAAACATTTTTTCTTGCCATGTACTTTTTTATGCAGACAGAACTGCCTTTTTTTGGTTGAATAAAATATTTATATTATACTTTATTATGTATTATTTAATGGCTTTAATATTCTTACTGACAAGAAGCAGTTTAAAATGGAATACTTTCCCTTAACCAGCTTGCTTCCTTTTATTTTCCATTTCTAAGAGAAGGTAAAATATATGGTTTTGAGAGGCATCTCTTCCACTTTAGAAAAATAGACAAATCAAAAATTATACAYTTTCTAAAGAAAATGATTTGATAATAATTTGATGTAGTCTTCTTTACTGTGCACCTCATGCATTTTTCTTATAATGTAGTCATACTCATACATAATAATATGAGAATTTCCCTTCAGTGTCAGAACTTATTATTGCTATTTATTTATTTATTTATTTGCTGRACCACTGAGCCACACCCCAACAGCATAATTTTTAAGGACTTCTAATATAGAGATTGTATTTCTTGTTTGGGAGATCTATAAATAACTCTTTGGTTAATAATGAACATTTGAATTTTACTGCATTTAAGTTGTAAATATTTTTTCTTCCATTAACTGTGTAGCTTTAAAGCCCTGATGGTTTTTTAAATTAATTAATTTATTTTAATTAGGTATATGTGACAACAGAATGCCTTTTGATTCATTTGATTTGATTCAGCACAACTTTTCCTTTCTCTGTTTGTACAGAATGTAGCATTGCACCATATGTGCGATCATACATGTACCTAGGGTAATGATGTCCATCTCATTCCACCATCTTCCTTGCCCCCATCCTCCCTCCCCTTCTCTYCCTCCCCTTTGCCCAAAGTTCCTCCATTTTTCCCATGCCTAGCCCCACCCCCATCATAGATCAGCATCTATTTATCAAAGAGAACATTCAGCCTTTGGTTTGGGGGGATTGGCTTGCTTCATTTAACATGACATTCTCCAATTTCATCCATTTACCTGCAAATACCATAATTTTTTCCCCTTTTAATGCTGAGTAATATTCTATTGTGTATATACACCACAGTTTCTTTATCCATTCATCTATTTAAGGGCATCTAAATTGCTTCCACAGTTTAGCTATTGTGAATTGAGCTGATATAAACATTGATATGCCGCATTACTATAGTATGCTGATTTTAAGTCCTTTGGGTATAGACYAAGGAGTGGGATAACTGGATCAAATGATGGTTGCATTCCAAGTTGTCTAAGGAATATCCATACTGCTTTCCAGAGTGGTTGTACCAATTTGCAGTTCCACCAGCAATGTATGAGTGTACCTTTTCCCTCCACATCCTCGCCAACACTAATTGTTGTTTGTATGCTTAATGATTGCCATTCTGACAGGAGTGAGATTAAACCTTAGAGTAGTTTTCATTTGCATTTCTCTAATTACTAGAGATCTTGAACCTTTTTTTATATATTTGTTGATCAGTTTTATATATTTTTCTGAGAAATGTCTGTTCAGCTCCTTAGCCCATTTATTGATTGGATTGTTTTTGTTGTTGTTGTTTGTTTTTGTTTTGTTTTGTTTTTTGTTGTGTGGGTGTGTGTGTGTATTCAGTTTTTTGAGCTCTTTATATATCCTGGAAATTAGTGCTCTATCTGACATGCATGTGGCAAAAATTTGCTCCAAAAATGTAGGCTCTTTTCTCACCTCATTGTTTCTTTTGCAAGAAGAAGCTTTTTAGATTGAATCCATCCAGTTTGTTAATTCTTTATTTTATTTCTTGTGTTGTAGGATTCTTGTTAGGAAAGTCAGGGCCTAATCTAACATGATGAAGATTTGAGCCTTAGACCTGCCCTTTTAAATTGAGGATTTCAACATGTTTTTAGTCATCAATGCTTTTTGGTAGTATCTGAATATTTTAGCTTTTTATGTTCTTAATTASAATATTATCCTTTCATTTGCATTATGGACTATATAGATTTTGACATCAAATGAATGTGGAAATGATTCTGAAAAAACTGTAAATGTAGAAAAATTTTATCAGTGGAAAAATTGATGAAAGAAATTCATAGGATTAATTCAAATTAAAGCAGTTATATAATATGTAACATTATATGCTATAGATTCATACACTAGAGTTAAACTAAATGTTTAATGTCCTGAATCCAAAAAGCTGGGACCAGAAGTATTTTAGATTTCAGATTTAAAATAATATTTAAATTTTGGATTTTGGAACATTCTATATTTTTTATTTAGACTAGGGATATTGATTCTATAACAGATAAGAAGAATCACCTTCTCAAGAACTTTTATTTTCTCATAAGTAAATTGGAAAAGATAATTTGTTCCATCTATCTCACAGTGCTTGGGGGGCATAACAGATCCTTTGTGCCTGTATTTTTTATTGTTTTTTTATTTAGAAGTTCATGTTAATATWTAGCACTGTCAGAGAGAAGGGTATATGTGAACATGTATTGTATGTGAAATAAYTTATTATTCAAATATTTGACAAACAGCTTTCCAAATGACCTGGGGCCCTGGTAGGCCCTCAAATTCACAGTGTCCAGGCTTTTTCCCTTGCTTCAGGTGGCAGGAACCCAGTGAGACACAGACACCTGTCCACTGCTTGTACAGGCGGTCAGATAGCACACCCGCAACCCATGCAGGTCTAAGTGATGCACATCTGATATGCTCAGGGAGAAGCTGGGATTTTAAGAGAAAAACAACAGCCAAGAAGCTTGCAGAGGAGAGGGAGCTCTCTGAATTATAGATTTTTCTGAGTCTCTGGGGGGTCAGATCTCTGCTTTCTTGCCTGTGACTAGAAGGGATGGACATAGTGGAAGRGATTCCTGCTGTATCTTTAGGAGGCAAGCACACCCAGTCCCTGGATATGGGACTGATACATTCAGAAATACTGTTAGGTTTGTTTTAGGTCTTGCATTTAATTCTGTGTTCCTTCTCATTAGCATTCAGAACATGGATGCTGAACTGTCAACTTGAGCATTGATGCTGGGGGATAAACATGTGYCTAGTGCATCATTTTCCTTAGGGGCTTTCAATTAATTGTGGAGATAAATAACTTTATCAGAGAAAAAAAGCAATAACTAATATTTGTATTATACTTTAAAATAGATTCTGGTGAGCTTTGCCCATGCTTCAAAAACATATATATGTATATTTGAAAATAAATCTATATTTATATTTATGTTTATGTTACATAGAGGCAAAAAAAGACCAAAAATAGGTAATACTTCAAGATGGTAATGGTGATGAGAATATGAATTATTTAATTTTTTTGCCCTTTTCTTTATCTTGTGTGTTTTCCTCAGTATATATTATCTATACAACTATAAAAATACAACAACGCATTAAACTTGTATTCTTTGATTAGTGAGATGGGTGATTTACCACCAGTCCTGGCGAGGCTCTGGAGGCTCTGCTRTTGAGACTGGTTACATTGCAGGGATATGTCYAAGTGACCAGCAAAATATAAAAAAGCATGAGGCAAAATGTCATGCCAGATATGACCTGAAACACTACCAGTTGAGTTTAGAAGATGAATCAGAAAGAAGGTATGGTGGGTTACTAGTTGCTTTAATCTCCTTTACCTACTTGTTTTAACAAGTAGCAGTTCTCATGCCAGTAAATTATTGAAATCCCAAGAGCCCTCATAAACATCTCTTATCAATGTTCTAAAACATGTAAAGCATATTTCTTTGTCCTTTTTTTTCAGACCCCCTGGCTGTGGAATACAAGGCACTGCTGGTACAACTACCCCTATCAGGTAAGCAGGCCTTTCTGTCTTCCTTCCCTAACTTCTGCACATCAGTCTCATGGTTTCAGGCCTGGCTGGGCAGCCACTTGTGTTTTAGCCCTGCCCCTAATGATTGATGCTAGACATGACTTAGTGTGGACAATAGTTTTTGTGTTCTTAATGAAGTTCAGAATCAAAGCCCAGTTGCTTTAGCAGATGGAGTAAACTTGGAAGTTTATATTTGCTAAATAGGATGCAATCAGTTCACTGGGTGGACAATTCCTGTTTGTAGCCAATGGGCTTCTCATTATTGARGGAAGACTGAAGTCTAAGGCCTGCCTTCACCTTAAGCGGGAGAGMTGGAAGAGGCACACTGAGTTCAGTTCACTTTGTAGCTTAGAAGCAGCTTCTGAATATACAAATCAAGTGTCATTTCCTTCAGTGCAGAAAAACGGACTTGTACCATTACACATGGATCATTATTCCTGCAACTCAAGAAAACGTCACTGAAAGTGAGATGGGTGATTTACCACTATGCCAGAAAGGGAGCACTTTAGATCCCTGCCCACCGACACACCTTTGTATCTATGTGTGAATTCAGTGATGTCAGTGTGTGTTGTTGCAATCCCWGATCGTTAATATTTGACCATCAAAGCAGGGACTTTTCTAGAAAATTCTAATTCATTTGGGAATATGTTATATAAGAGAAGCAAATGCAGCTAGGTATTTTGGTGAYAAAATAAAGAGATATATTAAGCAACTTTGATTTTCTGAGTTTGGGGTTCTTTTATAGTTATCTCTTTAGAGGCATGTGGGTTTTGGGGTATGCTTAGGGTTAATGTGGCCCAGAATGTTCCACATCTTCTCTATTACACACAGATTCACAGCATGGGCTAGGGCCTGGTATTAGATGCTCCTTGGGCAGGTTCAAAGCTAAGAACACATTAAAATGGAACTCTAATTTGCACTTCCATCTCTTTCAAGTAGTTTATTCAGATTAGAAAAGAATGTAAATAAGCAACATGACATAGTTAGGGGGAGCGGAGCATTCCAGGGACATCTGATAGTGACTACAACAGTGTTAAAGCCAATCACTTATTTGACACAATTGTTACTCTAGGGCCCAACTGYTGCTTTGCTATCTACCTTGAACATTGTCATTTGAGGTTTTCTTTGTATCTTATAAAGGTACACTGAGTAGCACAAGCCATATATATCTAAATTTCCATTTATAAAAGGATGTTAAAGGCTCCTAAAATCCTGAACTGGAATGTTGGCATGGCAGCTACTRTAATGCACTGTGTTTATGAGATAAATTCTGTAACATGAAGGACATTGAGACAAATGCTGTGTGAAATGTAATACCTTCTCTTCTTCTTAACTATACTGTAGTCCAAAATAATTTTCACATTGATGGMTGAAACTGACAAATAGCTCATTTCTGGGAAAATGAGTTGCTAAGATTATGGTCCGAAATGTAGCTGCAATTTATTTAATGGACAGACTATAGATTCAGCAAAAAAGTCTGAGGGTCTGGTTGATACAGCTATGTTTAAGAATAGGAAACATCATTAATATGAAAGGAAAGATTCCATAGGTGCAAATTCAGGTCAAGATTGTCTTCTGATAAGGCATCATTTCTTAACACTGGATAATTCAGTATAAAGCTCCCAAAATCAAGGGCAGATTCATGATCTCTTGTGGGAACAGTTATAATCTTTGATAAATGCCATATATGAATTTAAAAAGGCTTTTTGTATGTATGGTAAAAAAATTAAGCAGCATTAAATTACCATGTATGCAAATACAGGGCTGTGTGTGTAATTGTGTCTCTGTAAACATATATGGTAGGTTGCAGGTCAGAGTCAATGTCAATCCTTCAGAGCACTTTCAAAAATTGAGCATGYTCATGAAGCACATTTGTTATATCTTTAGCATACATACTACATAAGTAATTAAACATATATTTAGATGAAATAGTAGTGGTCTACTTCAGTTTTATTAAGGACACACATGCTCCTTTTGTATAAGCATGTGTATTTGTTTTGTATGTAATAATTTTATATATGTGTACATTTTTAAGATTAAAATAATATAAATTTGCATTCAACTGGCCCTTGTATAGCTTGTAATAAGGAACACAGGTTGGGCATGAGAAGCCCCTCTGCAATGGTCATGGAGACTCACTAGCTATGAGACTTGGGTTTGGCCTTTTAATCTCAGTTAATTAATTAAGCTATTTTCTGCCAACTRTACAATCCTTTAGAACTTTCATAAGAATCAAAAAGTTAATATGTGAGTGAGCTTTGCCAGTTGCAGAGCAACCCATGGAAATGGTAATTATAATGTGATGTTCTATTTCTGAAGTTTCTGGAGATGAACTAACTTGTCGTTATGACCCTTCTGGGGCATTTTTCCAGGTAATGGTGCTGAGTTAAGGGAATCTCATTAAAACTGAAATTTGACCTTGACTCTAAGGTCAAATTCCAGGGCCCTATTTTCTTGGCTGCATTGCTACCAACATCTGCCCTGAATACCCATCCTTCATTGCTAATGCCTTCGGTTTATAAAAGGATAGTTCAGTGACAAATAATTTCTCTCAAGGGTGATGCCGAGCTGAAGAAAACCTTGATGCTTGTMTTAGTCAGTTGAGGCAGCCATAACAGAATATCATAAGAAGTGCTCATATACATAAGGGCTCCAGTCTCATGACCTGATTACCTCCCAAAGGTCCACCTCCAGATTCCATCACATTGGTTATTAGGCTTTCCCATGAATTTTAGAGARACAAACATTTGGTCCATAGTAATGCTCATTCACTGTCCTTTAGAGTTAAAGATTGCTGATTAGAAAGTGTCCTATCCTGTCATCTACTCTATTGCAAAAATTTGAGAGGGATAGTCGCTTTTCTTGATGCCCATTCATAGTGATGCTGATTAAATGAGTGACAGCTTCTTGTGATAGTCAACTTGTTATATATCATCAGGGTACAGAACACATAACTTTAATTGCACTGACTGTGTATAGCATTACTTTGTATGCAGGGTATGGACATGTTTGCCTGATGATACTCAGAGGTTTTTCACTCATTCTGATAATGGAAAACATTTCATTACAACTCAATTAAAACAACTCAAAACAGCTCACCAACATGTTTTTGAAAATCATGTTATGGATTTAGACTTCATTGTCTTTCTGAGCCCTCCCCCTGATTCCTGAACCTCTGAGGCAATTAGATAAGAGACCACCCCTTGCTCCACATTTTACAAGTAAGTAAGGCCCAGTTTTATACCTACAATTCTGTGGAGCTGGGCTTCTATCTCAGATTTCCTGGCTGGTTGCCTAGTCTGGTATCTCTTGGCAGTCTTCCTATTCCTCTGATCTTTTAATAAATATTTTTGAATCATTCTTTTTGATATTTTAAATGTACTGAACATTTCCTAGTAACAAGAAAGCTTCCTGATTCATGCAGAACTYGAAACTATGGCTCGGTGACCCACATAATAATCCAGTTTCTATCCTCTGTACTATTCGAGGTCCCTGTACTTTGTACTCTGACAGCAGCCATAGGGGTTTTGTTTGTTTTTTGTTTGTTGCATATACATTAGAATATTTTTTTTCAGATTGCCTAAGGAATTTTCAGTTACTCATGTGAAAGAACCATAAATGCTATTATTAAACTGAATAATGAATTTGATATCAAATATTCATGCTAATTAATGCTTTTGGGCTTTAAGATGAAATGAAAATAATGCCAGAGAACTGTGGATTAGAGGCACCCTTAAAAGCTCCATTATCACAAAGAGAATAAGCAGGAATTGCATTCATAAGGCATAGAACCCTGTTACTTTTCAGCACTGAGTTTGAGATGTTTGGCATACAGATTGGGTTCCTTATTAACTATTAATCTTTTCCTTTTTTCTTTCATCCTCAGCCACTCACAACTGACCTTCACTACTATTACATCTTGGAGCTGTCATTTTATTGGTCTTTAATGTTTTCCCAGTTCACTGATATCAAAAGGAAGGTAAGAGTGGTTATGTTGTAAAGTGCTTGTAGACATGCATCTTGAATAGCTCTTGGCAGGTGGCTGTAGAGTCTCAAAAGCATTCACCTTTGTTCTCCTGGYAGTGCTAGGTTAGCAGTACTCTCTGCATTATTGCAAAAATGTTTCTGTGTTTGTTTGTGCTGTTTTGTATTTTGTTTCCTTTGCCCCTTCACTCTTCCCAAAAAAACGCAGTGTTCTCTTACCTATGAAAAAATATAGCAATTGAATCCTGATGGCAGTAATTTTCTCTCAGTCTTATCCCCAAGTCCCTGTTTTCCAATTTAAATGAGAAGAAAATTCCTTTTGACTCCTGGAAAACAGTAAAGTTTCAGTGYTTCCAGCCCTGCAGAATTAATGCTCTAATAAAAGGGTTATCAAAATATGCCTAAAAAATGCAACATTCCTAAATGAACAATAGTGGTATTTCACCCTCTCTCCACTAGAGTCTCCTGTGCTGAGAGTACCCATGGCCAYCTGACTGTTAAATCCACTCACTCCAACTCCCATCCTACCAGCTTCTGGGCAGAATTTGTGCTTTGGGCTGTTTGCTGTTTATTTTTTTCATAAAGGTATTTTCTCAAGATTCCCACACTTGGATCAGACCTTCATAGTTTTCTTGCCTTCATTTTAACGCCCCAATTTGGTTCTAGACCCAAATTATAGGATTATTGAGCTTATATTTTCCATCATGTCCAAYAATAACCCATGTGCCAGAAATTCCCAAATGTTTCTCTTCTAATCAGATTTTCTTTGGGTCCACACTTCCTCATCTCTGCTCACAAAGAATAATATTATGTTCTTTTTGTTTATTATATTACTTAATSCTTGCAACAACTCCGATTCCCATTTGGTTATATTTTATTTATCTTCATTTTATGAATCAGGAAACTGAACCTTACATGCAAAATGTTCCCAACTGCAAACACAATCTCTCTCCAAATAGCCCTTCTAACCGACAGTCATGGAAACTGGGAAGGTTTTCTTTGTTCTCCTCTATTCCTACTCMCTTAATATCACTGACACACTTAGTTTGAGCCCTCTCTGCATTTATAGAGTCTATTATAATAGCCGCCTTGTTCTAAAATTGTCAATCTTATCTGCCTGCTGCCTCAGAGTTATATTTCTTAAACCTTCAAGACAAAGCCCAAACTACTTGGGGTAATATTCAAGATTATAAACAGTATGACTCAAATCTACCTCTCCCACTTATCATCCATTTCTCCATACACATAGGATTTAGCTACAAATATCTTCTCACCATTGTTTAGGCACATTAAGTTTTTCCTGTGCATCTCTRTTTTTGTTGCTGCTGTTGTTCCAATATATTAAATTTCTTTGTGCATCTCCTCTGTTTTATGGGTTAAACCATTATTCGGTTGAAACTCATAGACTCCTATTTTCTTTTATTTATTTATTTGTTTGTTTGTTTGTTTTTTATAAGACTCTGTCTATGGCTAGAGTATACCCTATTTTCTCTTTGTCACTAACAAGATRTAACCAAAATTAGCCTCTTTTTTGATAACTTATTCTGTTTCAAGATTTTTGATTACCTTTTTTATTTAGTTGATAAGAGTATCCTACACTTATTGTGTTATATTTTGACAGTATGGTGACCTGCCTCTCTCCTTTCAGTAGACCTRAAGGGTAAAGAGCAATGTCTTAGTTCATTTGAGCTGCTATAACAAAATACATAGGCTATTCAGTTGACAAGCAACAGAAATCAGCTGGGGATGTAATTCATTGTTAGAACACTTGCCTAGCCAGCCCRAGGCTCTGGGTTTGACACCAAGCACTACAAAAGAAAAACAAATTTCTGATATAAACAGTAGAAATCTATTTTTCATAGTTCTAGAAGGTAAGAAGTCCAAGATCAAGGCAGCAACAGATTCATTATCTGGTGAGAGTTCCACTTTCTCATAGATGGCACCTTCTCACTATGCCCTTAAATGGTAAAAGGGGCAAAACAAATTTCTGGGACATTCTTTTTTTTTCCTATTAATTTTATTTATTTATTTTTATTTGTTCTTTTTAGTTATGCATAGCAATAGAATGTATTTTGACATATTTGAGATGTTCTTTAAAGCYACTAATTCATCCATAAGGGCTCCTCCCAAAAGACCCCACTCCAAATACTACTATTTTAGGAATTAAGATTTCAACATATGACTTTGGGAGAAAACRAACAATTCAGCCTATAGGAAGCAGGATATGCTTATCTTTGTATTGCTTGTGRCTATCAAAGTACCTGCTTATGGTAGGATTAATAAGTCCAGGAATAAATGAATCAGTTCCTTTGCAAACAGCATTGTATGTTATGATGGAGCATAATACTGTAATGTATCATTTTGGTTTGTTCAGTAATCTGCTAAATTGCAAAATGGTGTCTGAGTGGCAGCTGACAAGCACTTAGGAGTCTATGGTCTAGAGCCTGAGTCTCTTTTCCCCRGCTCTTCTACATCTCAGCCACAGTAGCTTTCTTGGCTGACAAAAAGCTACCTTTCCTGACTTTTATGGCTGCGAGGCCTTAGTATGGTATAGGTATCTGACTSTCAGAAAAAGTAGATGGTCCCTTTCAAGATGAGCCTTGGCAAAGTAGAAGATTCATTGACAYCTACAATTTGTGCTCCCTATATTCTTTGCACCAAACACTCTKGGCCAGTTTCTGGAAACATTTAAACGTCCTTCAGTGATGATATGCCAGCTCAATCTCCTCTGTTTTATGGGTAAAACCATAAAACCATTATTCAGTTGAAACTCATAGACTCCTGTTTTCTTTTTTTAATTTATTTGTGTGTGTGGTGTTGGGGATTGAACCCAGGGCCTTGTGCATGCAASGCAAGMACCAACTATTTTCTATGTGTCTGGTAGAAAATCGATACATGGTGAGTTTATGTAAGTTTCTCAAGAACATGTAATGTGGGAATGAATTGGAATCCAAGTTTACCAAAGCCCTAGAATTCACTCTTAGATTAGACACATATACAATTCTTGCCTTGCCCTGCCAGGCTCTTCATGTTAGAGGTAGTAAGACTTTTATAACTCATTACCATTTTGTTGATTCCCCTTTGCTTGRTGAGAATTAGGGATGCTACACAAAATCAAAGAGATTGATTAAAGCAAGAGTAGCTGTTCTTGTCTTCCAAAAACTGTGAGCCAGCAGAACTCAGGGAAGCTTCATTACTTTAAGCCAAATGACCATTATCTCACTAATTTCCATKGGAGGATTACTTTTAATGGTTGAAGTGCATCATTTTGTGTGATTTTTCACATATTTAGCACAAGTATAGAAAACACCTATAAAAAAGATGATTTTACAGTGAGGTTTGTAGAACTGATTCTAGGCCTGTGTGTTGTCAGTGTTTACAAATTTTATGTATATATTGATACATTGTGTGTGTGTATATATATGTATATGTGTATATATATATATATATATATATGTATGTATATGTATATATACATGTGTATATATAAACACACACACACACACACACAATATACACACATTTTTTTTTCCCTAAGTCTGCTCTAGTAGCTTGTTTTAGCTGTCTAGCACCCTTCTCTTCTTCTGTTGGTCAGAGTATTTTTGTATGTTCCTGGTACAGTTGGCTTATTCTTACTTCTTGCACAAAATGGAAATGAGGTCACTATCAGATGTGCTTATTAGTTGGCACAGGTTTTGATAAGAAAGACCTTTACCATATTGCCATCTGGCATTAGAGCACTGTGGTTCTTGTGTTTCCGGTCATATCTTGCTGACTGACCCCATGGGTCCTTGGTCACCCTGTCCTCATTACACTCCCACCTGGAGAATCTGCTGTTCCAGCCATCAGTGACAATTTATGGTGTGTTCTGTCTGCCAGATACACTCTCCATCTTCTATGCTGGAACTATTAAYTGCACCTCCTAAAAACAGCCGGTTTCTTAATCATGAAATAGGGATGTTTGAAGATACTCCTTGGTAATATGTTATGGAAACTAACTTCTGAAGGCTATTCATGAGACTGTTAAAAGAAGGGTTATCAAAATGCTTCTTAGGCTCCCCTACTAAGCAGTAAGCTTGAATGGCTATATTCAAATAGAGATCAGGATTTATAAACACTGGATCCAGATGCATGCTTCAGACTCTTGAATCAGTATATAAATGAGGTTTAGAAATCAAAATTTTTGACTGAATGGTTTCATGAATCTTTATGAAATTGCTTTCCTATTCACCAACTCTTCTCCTTTTTCCACCATTGGAAAAAAAATGTTTCCACAAAGAATCTGGGAGTTAAAAATAAAGGAAGAACCTTTCATACCATTGTTGACAGAGCACACAACCTCTTGCTCTTTACCAAAGCTGGTACTTATTTGGTCAGTGAGGCTGAATATATTAATCTTTCCAGGCTTATGATTAAATATGGTATGCCACCAAAATATGTAAGCTTTTTAAAGAAAATTTTCCTTTTTTCTTCTTCCCCCATTCCTTTCTTCTACCCTTTCTTTCTTCTTTTATTAAAAAAAAGGTATCTTCCTAATACAATATTTTCTTGGTGTTCAATGATATTTGAAACATCTTTTTTCAAAACTTTTATTGTTGTTAAAATTCTGTGCTGTAACATCTGCTCACAATGAGCATTTCTCCTGCACATATAAATTTTCTGAGGAAAGCTAATACACATTCTTGTATTGGGCTCAGAACAGCTTGCTTATGTCTAAAACTTGTGTCCCCTTTAACAAAGCTGCTCTCTGGCTCCAAGGCCTGGGCCCTGGGCCAGTGGGTCCYGCTCATATTCAGGAAAGCATCCTTGGCAGTGTTCCAGGGCCTGGTTGGCAAAGTCAGCTTGTTGCTTTCTTGGTCTTTAACCTGAGAAAAACACCCCCATCATGCCAAAGATTCCTGACAGAGAGGTATGATGATTAAGTTTAGCAAGAAACTTATTTACAGATTTTTGTCTACTCTCTGATTACTTTTGATAGGCAATAGCCAGTGCCTA